TTTCTTTGTGGTAATAAGGATTGCACTGAGCTAGATCTCTAGCTCTTTCTAACTTTCTTTCTTTCTTTCTCTCTTCCTTTCCTTCTTTCTTTCTGTACCAGGAATCAAACTCAGGACCTTGTGCTTGCGAGGCAGCCACTCATGCCGTTGAGCTCTCTCCCTGACCCTCTAGCCCCCTTTTTTATTCTGAGATTTTTGAGACAGGGTCTCACTAAATTGCTAAGTTATCCAGGCTGGACTTACATTTGCCAACCTCCTGCCTCAGCCTCCCAGAGTGCTGGCCACTAGGCCTGGTTTCATGCTGTTTCCTATTACTGTGCCTGAACATCAGGATTGTCCTGGGTCACCACCTGCCACTGTCACCTGGAACCCTGCAGGGCCCCCTTCATGTCTTCTCCATCCACCTGAAGATGGGCTTTTAGCTGGGACCACAGATTAGGGAGGAATGGTTGGGTGACTGAATAATAACATACTCCCTGGGGGAGTGGGCTTCACTGCACATATCACAGGGGAAGAGTTCTGGGGGATACAATATTTGATCATACGAGGCAAAAGGATATATGAGAAAAAGTGAATAAGGCAGGCCCCTATCTATCTATGTGACAAGGGCGGGGGTGGGGAAGGAACTGTCAAATACCCCAAACATAAAGCAGGAGGTTGAGGCGCAACATAGAGGGATACAACTTTGTTTTTTTTTTTGCAATTTTTAAAAAATTTTATTTAAGGAGAAAAGAAAAAAGCAGGGAAAGGGTACAAGTTATACAGATTTACAGAAAAAAAATGAACAGTAGGAAATCACTAGTTAATGGATTACATATTGTCATCTTAGAAATAATTGTTCAAGTCACAAAATTAAAGCTTGTAAAGTGGACATTCCATCTATGATACTGCAAACAGTTCTGTTCATTGATCCAATAAAACTCTGTGATATCATTTTCTATCTTATACACTTAAATATACATGCAGTTATATAGTTTGGAGCACTTTCTTTTCCTCTCTTTTGTACCATGACTATTACACATTTTGGGTTTCATTGCTCCCATGGTTCTTATTACTTTTTTGGAAGAGAGTAAAACCAAATGTGACATAACAGAACCGAATCGGTCAAGTCAAAAGGGTGGACATAATAGATAATGTAAAAACATAATACAAGGTGATCAACAATGGTTACCATAATGCCTCCCGCTATCTTTAATAGAATTGCCTATATCGTTAGTTATAATACAATTGAACAAAACAGTAAAGAATAAAACCGACAAAACCAAAACATTGGAGACATTGTAGGTCTTCAAAAGTAGATAAAAGTCAACAAGAATGGGCGTCATAATGAATCTCATTATCTTCACAGCTGATGCCTAAACTTTCGAACCTGATACTATCCAGCAAAACAGAATAGGGGAACATCAGTTAAAAACCAGATGGTGAGAGTAATACAGGGCTTTAAATCAAGGTAATGAAAAATCAAGTAAATGAAAAGTGGGTTACTATAATATATCCTGCTATTTTTTCCCTTTAATTAAAAGGATAAAGATAAAAAAGTAAATAATGGAGTGGAGATTGAGATAAAAGAGGGCATAACAACGAAACAGCGCAGATCAAAACATAACCATTTAAGCAGAATAGTGTTTCACCACCAGATAATCCTAACCTAAAAGTAGTTACCATATTGTCTCTTTCTTTGAAATCCTTGAGTACAACTTCGTATACTGTAGCATTAAGTATATCAAAACAATGTAAAACCATTCAAGAGAATGACAGCATTACAGAGTATTTAGAATCGACTAACAGAAAATGACCAATGGTTTCTGTATAATCTCCTTGTCTTTAAAAGGTTTTTGCTTATACTATCGTACATAATAAAATCCAATAAGATACAGCCTATTTAGACCATTGGAGACAGAAGGACAAAAGCTAGATGAGACTTCAAAACAAGATGATACTAAATCAGTATTACCTATTAAGATGTCATTTTCTCCAAAATAGCTGTTCCTGTCATCCAATCTTCTCTGCCTCATTTCTGTTAAGCTCTTTTTCTGTCAGTAGCTGTCAGTTTGTCTTCTTCATTTTGTTCTCTGCTCCATTCGTTGTGGCCTCCCCGCCACTATTTCTGGGTTCTTTGTATTTTTCTTTTTTTAGAATATCCTGCAATACTTTCTGTAGAGTTGAATTGGTGGTTGCAAATTCCCCCAGTTCCTCTTTATCCTGGAAGCACCTTGTTTTTCCATCAATTTCCAGGGACAGTTGTGCAGGATATCTCAATCTTGGCTGGAGATTATTATCTTTCAATGCTTGAATTATTTCCCCCCACGCTCTTCGTGATTTGATGGTTTGTGCAGAGAAATCTGCTGTAATTCTGATGGGTGTTCCCTTGTAAGTGGTCTGTTTCTTGTCTCTTACAGCTTTTAATATTCTGTTCTTGTATTGAATTTCTGGAATTTTTATTATTATATGCCTGGGTGTTGCTCTGTTTGGGTTGTAGGTAGCTGGGGTCCTGTATGCCTCATACATCTGAGTATCTTTACCTTTTGCTAAATTAGGAAAATTCTCCTGGATTATTTCTGTGAGTAGCTTTTGTAGTTCACTTGTTTGTGTCCCTACTTCTTCTTTTATGTTCTTAATCCTTAAGTTATGGCTCCTCTTATCATCTTCTTGTCTTTGTATTATTGCTGTTTGTTTCTTTGTTATTTTTAAGAAGTTTTTCATTTCATTCTCCCATATTACAAGTCTGCCCTCCAGTTCAGATAGTCTGTCCTTAGTTTCTTTCAAGCTGTTATGCCAGTCTTGGATAGACTTCTTAGTATCTTGGTAGTCCCTTTGAACCTGCTTCACGTATTTTATGCTTTCTCTGTTTTCTCCATCAAACAATTCTCCCCTTTTTTTCTGTTCTTCCATTCCACCACCTGTTTTTTCTTGGGTGGTACTTAGCATTTCTCTAACTATTCTGCATACTTCTAGCTTCAGCTTCGTTGATAACTTCATTCCTGAATTTGTCTATGAGGCTCTCTATATGGCGCCTTATGTGTATTGGTGCGGTGTCTGCTATTGCCTGTTTCTCAGAATTGGGGGCCGAGGAGCCTTTCTTGTTGCTGCCTCTTCCCATGCTGCCTCTTCTTTTCTGTTCCTTATATATGCAAGCTTATATAAGAGGCCTAGCTTCTCTCCCAGTCAGCCACAGCCTGATCGAATTGCGCCAGTTAGGTGTTCCCGCTCAGCGCTGCGCACCAGGGAGTTACGGACCAGGCAGCCTACGCATCTCCCCTCCCGGCCACCGTCAGGCTCTGGGATCTGGGTTGGGACAGCCTAGCAGGTCCGCCGGCAGCGTCACGCAGGCCAGGCACTTTTCACCAATCCCGCCCGAGAGGGGAATGTGTGGCTGGAGTCGCCACCGCGCCCTGCTCCCACAGGACTGCTCGGGCCCAGAAAGTCCTCTGCTGGAGTCAAACTGTGGTAGAGTGTCAGTTTCTCTCACTCACCTCACCACAAGTCAGTGCACGCCTCCCTGCCGTTCGCAGATTGCCGTTCTCAGAGCTTCTGCGTGTCTCTCTCCTTGCCGAGCCACTGTAGAGGCAGCCAGCCGCCGCGCGGCGGGAAACCCGAATCGCGGCTTACAATGGCGCGGGGTCCAGCCTCCACACCGAGGCTTTTCTGTTCCTGTTTTAGCGCCAGGACTGCATTCCAAGTTGGTTTCTCTCAGCCGAGTTCGTTCCTGAGTCAGCAGAGCATATCTCCACCTGCTTATGTCTCCTTAGTCCGCACCATTCCTGGCTTCTGAGCCAAGTCTTTCAGAGAGCCTCCGGTAGTTGCTGTTATCTGTCCGCCATGTTCTCCCGGAAGTTCAGGGATACAACTTTGGATTTGGCCTCACAGATGTGAAGAATTTCTACTGCATTGATATCACACGATGTCGTGGCTTGGATGAGTGTAGGCTAAATCGGGTGCTGCTAACAGCAGGTTGTAGAACCTTTAAGAGATAGAACCTATGGGAGGCCACTGGGGTGTGTGCTTTATTTATTCCCAATACTTTTTATATTTTATTCTGAGACAAGATCTTACTAATCGTCCCAGTCTGCCCTTGAATTTGTGATCCTCCCGCCTCAGCCTCCTGAAGTAGATGGGATAACAGACATGTGTCACCGTGCCTGTGGGAGGTTGCTGTAGAAGAGGATTGTGGGGCCTCACTACCTATTGGCAAACCAATAGGCTCCCTACACATGGATTTGAACCCCCAAACCATGAGCTAGATAACCTCACTCTCTCTTTCTTTTACCCAGATGGGGTCTCGGCCTGTAATTCATGCTGGCCTTGAATTCACAGCAAGCCTCAACCTCCCTAGTGCTGAGATTATAGGTATGTGCCACCATGCCTAGGCTCTTTCCTCTTTATACATTAACGGACTCAGGCTTTTTATTGTAGTAATGTGATCTGCCCACACAAAAACTTGAAAGACACTTGACAGCATGTTTTCAATAACTAAAGCCAACAAGGACAAACTGTTGCTGAAATAAATAAAGCAAATGGGAAGACATCTGGTGTTCATGGGTTAGGAGGTTTAAGATTGTTAAAACATCAGTATTACCCAAAGAAATCTATACATTCCAGACAAACTGTATCAAAATCTTGGCAGCCTTTTTTTTTTGTAAAGAAGAAAAAGTGAGTCCTCTATTAACGGCATTTTAGGGACCCCAAATAGCCAAAATAATATTTTAAAAAGGATAAAATTGGAGGACTTACATTTTCTGATTGTAAAACTTGCTCAGTACTGAGCATGGTGGTACATGCCTAATAGTCACAGACCTGCTGAGATAAAAGTACTCCACGTTTGGGCCAGCTTTGGTGCACTGTGAGCTCAAGCCCAGTCTAACGTATGTAATGAGTCCAAAAAAATTTGCCACAAATATATAGCAATCAAACAGTGTTGTACTGGCAAAGGACAGACACATGGACCAGTGGAACAGAATTGAGATCCAAAAATAAATCCACATGACTATGGCCAGTGGCTTCTGACCAAAGTGAGAACATTCAGAGAGAAGAATAGTCTCTTCAACAAACTGTGTAAAGGTAAGTTGATATCCACAAGCAGAAGAGGTTGGACCTCACCCCATAAAACCTAGTTAGCTCAAAATGGATCAAGGAACTAAATTTAAGAGCTCAAGTATAAAGAAAAAATATATAGGTGTAAATCTTCATAACTTTGCATTTAGTCATGAATGTTTACAAATGACACCAGAAACATAAACAGCCAAAGGTGTCCCTCCCACACCAATGGTGTGACCGGCCCCCTGCAGAGCACTGGGCCTTGTCTGACCCTGGGCAAAGCAGGCAGGAGGGAGATATGTGGACAGTGGTTCTTTGGGGTAGCTGTTTATTCCTCTTTCTATTTTCTGCATTTTTAAGATATTTCTCTTAGGAAGAACAACAGGTTGGGGATACTTGCTGGTGAGGATGGCTGTGTGGGAAATTTCGAGAGTGGGCCGGGAGTGTGAGTGTGTGTCAATTTGGTGACTTGATTGTGCTGTGGCCTGAGCGGGGAGGCAGGAGAGTTCCATCGCTGGTGAGAGGGGGCACTGTTAAGAAAGTCACCCCTGTCCATCATGGGAAGGGAAGCTCCCTGTGCTGGGCTGGGAGGGGCTGCTCGGGAGTCTCCTCCAGCGACCCTGGACAGGATGGGTCCTTTGCAGAGAATAGCATCCGGGAATCCACAGCCAACCTTTCAGATACCCTGCCACAGTCTGTCATCTGACAGAGGAGAAAACTGAGGCACAGACTCCAGAGACTCAGCACCAGGACCAGCATAACCATCCCTGGCTCAGCGGCTCTTCTGTTCGGATCCTGGCTTCTCCATTCACATTGTGGGGGTCCTAGCCAGGATTCCCCAGCCCCATTCAGTTTTTCCCACTCCCGGCAGCCCTGGTTTACTCTGGACTCCCACCTCCACTGGCCTTGCCTCTAGCAGGAGCCCGAGGCTAGGCAGAAATAAGCATAGACTGTCCGGAACTGGAGGGGTTTTTCTGACCTCACAACTGAGGAGTGTGAGGCCTGGAGACAGCAACCAGCTGACCCAAAGCAACACATGAGCTTCAGTCCTTGGTCTGGATTTCTCACAGTCGCTTCCCCACCTGGGTAGAAGCCGCTGAATGTTCCCTAAGGAGGTGGTGGATCTGGATCTGTGCTCCAGATGGGGGGAATAGTAGAGGTGGGCAGCGGATAAGCCCTTCCTTCCCAATCCCAGGTAGATTTCTCCTTTTTGGCTTGGGGTAGGTTCTGGGAGCCAAGGCTGTCGCTGAGTGTAACTAGAGATTCTGCCTTTGCAGCTCTGCTGGCTCAGGGCCCTGGACACATAAGAAGCTGGGCTGGGGCATAGCTAAGGGACAGAGTGCTTGTCCAGCATGCATCAGGCCCTGGGTTCCATCCTCAGCACAGGAAAAAAAAAAAGTCATAAGCTGGGGTCTTTCAGCTGGGGCTCTGTCCTTCCCCAGCTTTGAGAGCTCCTGGCAGTCCCCATGCCCTTCCATTCCTTAGGAGAAAGCAGAAGCTAAAGATGATTCTGTCCCCTGGTGTGGCATCGGTGAGGGGATCCCCCCCAGGACCCTGACCCAAGGTCAAACTTCAGGCTGGCAATGAAGATCCTTTGAAGTGGTGCTGGAGGGGGGCCCAAGGGCCAGACAGGCACATAGGCTGTGGTGTTCACCGTTGGAACCTTGTTGGCTCTCCAGACCCCTCCTCCACCCAGGGGTACGGGCAGTGTGTCAGTGGGAGGGCATCTGGGCATCCTGAACAAAGCAACATCGTCCAATAGACTCTTCTTCCCCAGGATGAGAGTGAACTGCATGTCATCTGCCAGGTGCTGCCGAATGACTTGGGAGAAGAAGAGACCCAACCCTTGCATGGAAACGGAGGCAGGTACTCTTATACTGCACCTGTGGGGCTTATCCATCTAATGTGTGTCCAGCTTGCTAATGTGTGTCCTTGCTTGCTTGCTTCATTTGTTTAGGAAACAGGGCCTCACTAGCTCAGGCTGCTCTTAAACTCACTAAGTAGCCCTGGCTGGCCTTGAACTCCTCCTGTTCCAGTCTCCTGAGTGCTGGGATAATAGGCATGCATCACCCCTCCCAGTGGATACTTGCTTTAGTAGGAGGGGGAATTAAAACTAATGTGCAAATTTCGGGGGGGGAGTTTTAATTGAAAAGTTAGAGGGAGGATAAGAAAGGACTTCTGCCTGGGTAGCTGGGAGGGGCAGAGTTTGATACGGAGGTTCAGACTGGTGTACCTGCCAAGATGGGAGGCCAGCTTTCAAGGATTAGCAGGTGGGCGGGGGTCCAGTTGATCATACTGTCAGCCCTGGTGTCAGTGTTCTGGAATGGCTGAGGGACGGTTTCTTTTCCAGGAAATGGTTGTCTCTGTCTGTACAGGACAAAAGCTGAAAGCTTCTGAGTATAGCTGAATGTCCCTGTAACCTCTTATCTTGGTGTCTTCAATCTTTTTTTATTGATATTAGGAATCGAACCCAGGGCTTTCACACTGAGTTACAGCCCCATCCCCTCTTTAAATTGTTATTTATTTATTTCACTTGGAAACAGGGTCTTGCTATGTCACTAAGTTGCCCAGGCTGGGCTTGAACTTGCCATCTCCCCACCTCAGCCTCTCTGAGCACTGGGATTGGAGGCATGCAGCATTGAGCCTGGTGGTATCCTCAGTCTTGAAGGGGATGAGATTATGTAACTTCAGGGCTAACCAACTCTGTCTGTCCAGACACTCCCTAAAGGACCAACACATCCCTATGCAAAGCTGAGAAAAGTTTTGACCCAATGTTTACAATAACAAACGAACCGAAGCTGTAGCTCCGTGTTAGGGTACTTGCCAAGAATGTGTAAGGCCCTGGGTCTAATCTCAAGCACTACTAAAAAAGAAAAGAAAAATTAGTTACACTACAGTAACACAGGATACAAAATAAAGGTCAAATTTTGTTTTGCTTTTAGGCAGAAGACCCAAGTGAAGTCATGGTTCAGAGCAAAAGCAACTTTTAAGTCCTTGCTTGTCCCAGAAGAATACACAAATCATGCTTTGAATGAATAGTAGGTAAAGGGCCAGGAATCTGCCGGTCCTCCATCCTTGTGGTGGTCCTTGACTACGTCATGAAAGCACCACTCTCTGTGGGTGGCCTGACCCAGGCCTGTTGGTGGGAGGACCTACAGGAAGTGTCCCGCAGCTCTCTGGTTTTGTGTTTCCAGCTGCTCTCTGTCTGAGATAACCAGGGTTACTTCTTTGCCTCTGTAACCCCACACCCAGGGCCTCCCGTGAGCCCAATGAGCCTGCTGGGGGAGGGCAGCGGGGCACAGGTCTCCACCTCCAAAGTGCCGGCGGAGCTTCTCCGTGTAATGGGAACATATGCATTTCTGCTTTTCTTCTTCCTCCTCCTCCCTCATCTTCCTTTATCCCTTCTCCATCTCCTTCTTCCCCTTCCCCTCCTCCTTCTCTTTCTCCCTCTTTAAATTTTAGGTACTTTTCAAAAGGAGGAGAAGGAGGAGGAAAGTGGAGAAAGAGAAGGAAAAAACCAGTAAAACTTTCCAGTTAAAGATGGCATTTACAGCCGCATTGTGCAACCTGGTTAGGAGTGTGTGTGTGTGTGCGCATGTGTGTGTTTGCGCGTGTGTGTGTTTGCACTTGTGGGAGTGTGTGTGGCACAAGGCTGTGAGCATCTCCTCTTGTCTCCTTACGTGTGGGTATGGGGATTCCAATGAGACTGTCATCCCCAGCACCCAGAATGGCCCAGGGATCCTTCCCCACACCATGGCAGGCCTCCCCGCAGTTTGATAGATTGGTCTCTGGGTCCCCACTTGGCAGAGGAAGAAACTGAGGTGCCGAGAGGGAGGGGACTTGCTCTGGGTCTCCAGTGAGCCTGAGGACAGCGGAGGTCTGAGCAGGATGCGTTTACACAACACAGAAGGAGCCACGTCTGGGGGTGGAGCCTGACCCTCAGTGCACAGCCCACATGGCACAGAGTGGCAGCCCTGGGAGGGTCCATTCACTGGCCTCAGGGCCACATGAGACAGGAGCTGGCCTGGGCTGAGAGGAGGAGGCGCTATGTCGCTATGTGAACTTCTGGCAGCTGGGAGGGTGGCGGCCTTGGGCCTGGGGGACCGTCCACTGCCTCAGAGAATGTGGTGACATAGCTCAGCTCATGGGTGGTATTAATGATGAGCCAGATGACATTTGCCCAGCCAAGCTTTTTCATCTTAGCAAGAAAACAGGACACATGGTGACTCTGGCAGCTACATTTGGATACCAGAGCTCATTTGGTTCAGAGATGGAGAAAGATGTCACGCTTCTCACAAGCATCCTTCCTTTTTCCCTTACAAACACCATAATTCCATAATGGCCCTGAGTACTACTGCACAGGCTGAATCCTGCTGGATGCCAGCGAGGATCCTAATCATGTTGGAGTCTGTGTCAGTGTAATCCTTTTGGGTTGCACAGTGGCTAACTTGTGCAACTGTGCATGGTGGCCCTGAACCCCAGATATATTTCTACTAAGCAGATAAGTGAGTCCATTCCTATACCTTAATTGGGCAGGTGTGCTCACCATCTTGTTGGTATACATCCCACCAGAAGGGGAAATTGACTAGCTCTTCCCACACAAACCCAGCTGGAGGTGGACAGCCCACTCTCTTGATGAGCATGTAAATATCCTCAGCCCAACCCCTCACTTCCCTTCTGGCCACCTGCACTGATATCTAATACACTCAGTCCAGTGGGCCCAGGCTTGGCTTCTGTTAAAACTGTGCATGCTGCTCTGAACTTGGTTCTCAAATTCTTGAGCAGACTTTTGACTTAACCCCAGACATGTCCTCCCTCCCTTCTTCCAGGCTCTACCTCCAAGACCTGATGCCTCCAAGATTATCAACCCCTTCTTCTCTTGACACCCACCTCCTGTTGTTCTGGACCTCTGCGATCCTACACCTGATGGTGGCTTCAGCTTCCTTTGGCATCTCTGCCTCAACCACACTCCGATGTGGACCCTTCTCTCCAAGGCAGCCAGGGGGCCTTTCAGAAATTAAATCAAGCTGGATGTAGTGGTGTGTGCCTACAGTCCAAGTTACCTGGGAGGCTGAGATAGGAGACTAGGGTGGGTAACTTAGCAAGACCTTGTCTCAAAATAAAATCAAAAGGGCTTCCCCTTTGGGCAGGGGAGACTTGGTACAGAGCCGGTGGAAGCTACCAGTGGGGTTTCCCTAATGAGTTAATGAGTGAACGAGAATCAGCAGCTAAATTCCTTATTGGCTTTTCCCCATCATTATTTTTTTAAAACTTCTGTACAACTTCAGGAAGATAAAACCAGAATGAATGTTGTATAATTTACATTCTTTTAAGTTTGTTAGGTCCTAGAACATTGTCTTAGTAAACGTTTCATGGGAGCTCAAGCAGGATTCGTGTTGTGTTGTTGGATAAAGGCACCTAAGGAGTCATGGATATCCAGTTGCTGATATTGTCATTGAGCCCAACTGTGGCATTATTGTCTTCTGTTGTATTTCCTGCAGTCTGGCAGAGGTTCTAGTTCTTGCTCAGGTTCATGAGCATAGACAGTGGACTATGCTGTAGTAAGAACCCAAAGGCAATGCTGCTCTCGGCCATCGGGAGGCGCCTGGTGTCTGTTTTTTCTGCCTGATGGACACTGATGGATCCCTTAGTCCGAGATCCCCTTCCCTGCCGCCCCTAACTTGCTGTAGGACCACCTTGGTATTTGCATGTGGGATATTTCCTGGGCTTCTGCGTTGTGGGACTGGGCAACAGGTTCTCAAAGGCTGTGCTTGTGTCTCTGTCATTGGGAGTTCCCAAGTCTGGTGATCAGACACAGTGGTGACATCTATCTCCAGCTGAGCCGTGGGATGTATTTGGGACTAGGGAGTGGTGGTGGTGATCTGGCCTGGACTCTACCTTCCAGAGGTCAAGGTGAGAACTTCCCCCAACCCTGCGAAGATGTGCTGTATTTTCTCTGGTCAAAGTGAGAAGAAGAGCACTTGGGGTAGGTCAAAAAGACAGAAGGTGGTGCAGGCTTGCAGTCCCTGAGACTCAGTAGGCTAAGTCTGGATGACTGCCAGCCTGGGAAGTTAGTGAGAGAGACCCTGTCTCACAAATAAGCAAGGCAAACACAAAGAAAAAGGAGGTGGGCGGGGCTTGCCTGGGGCAGAGGTTGGTGAGATGCAGTGAATTCAGAGATGAATTCACTTCCACATAAACTTGCAAATAAACTTACAGGTTTTATCCAACTCCAAAAATGCATAATTTGGCAAAAACCAAGTCCTGGTCTCTAGAAGGTTGCTCATGGCTGGGGATATAGCAGAGCGGCACAAGTGTCTGCCTGGCAAGTGCAAGGTCCTGGGTTCAAGTCCTGATACAAAGAAAAAAATATCTTGCACAGGTTGCTCAGTCTATGAAGCAGCAGACTATGCTCAGTGTTTGGGTTGTGCCCCTTGCCTTAAGGTTGGCTCTAAAGGTATTTGGACTTGAATTCGCTATGCAAGATAGAGACCTCCTACATAACCTTAACACTGGGCTCTGTTGGGCTGGGTCAGCATCATGAGGACCTGTCAGAAGGAGGGACATCTGACCTGCACCCTGAGAACCTCTCCTAGGGACATGGGTCTGTTGGCAGTGGAGATGTTTCTTTAGTTTCTCTGAGGAGGTCAGCACAGAACTGGGAATAGCTTGGAAGTAGAAGCCAAGGCTTGATGGTGGAAGCTAGCAAGTGAGGGCTTCTAACACTAGATACTAGAGCCAGGGGTGGTGGGCACACCTCTAATACCATCTGCTCAGCAGGCTGAGGGAGGAGGATTGCAAGTTTGAGACCAGCCTGGGCAATTCAGTGAGAGCCTATCTCGAAAAAAAAAAAAGGAGTGGTGGTATTGGTTATGGTGCAAATGTGTAACTCAGTGGTGGGGCATGTACCTTGCATGTGAGAGGCCCTGGGTTTAATCCCTTGTATTGCAAAAAGAGCAAAAACAAACTAGACAGAGCTAAAAGTATTGTCTTCACTTAACAGGTGAAAAAATCAAGCATTAACATAATCAAGTGTCTTTTGCTCCAGTTATGAGTGGTAGAGGCATAATTTAAACTCCGTTCTGGGTGATTCTCAGGGGGATACTCAGGAGTTAGAAATTGTAATTGACAGTTGGCAGGAGAGATCTGACTCTTCTTAAACAAGCCATGGGCTTATTTGCACATAAATGATTACTGTGGTAAGCTGTAGGGCTGGCTTGGCAGCTCCATGGAATCACTGGGGACCCAGGTTCAGAGACCTAGGCTTCACGGTCCTCAGTTTATCACTCTCATCTTCAGAGTCATCTCATCACCACACCAGCTGCTAAGGTTCAGGAGTCCTGATACCTCATTTAGCTGTCAGTTCCCCACCTCACCCTCCACCCCAGCCCTGTGCTTTCATGGTGCTAGAGATTGTACTCAGTGCCTCTTGGATGCTAGACAAGCATTCTGTCACTGAGACACACCCCAGCCCTAGTTGGCTATCTAAAGAGGGTTTTGTTGGGTATGGGGGTACATGCCTGTTGTCCCAGAACTTGGGAGGCTGAGGCAGGAGGATCATGACTTGGAGGCTAGCTTGGGCAACGTATCGCGTTCCAGGTCGGGTTGAACTATATGATAAGATCCTGCCTCCAAATTAATGACATAAATCAGTTTTTTATTGATCCCATTGACTGCCAGTCTACAGATCATTTGTCAAACTAGGAAACCTGAGAATTATACTCCTTTTATTCAGGAGTTATGTTGCTATGCAAAGACCTGTGCTGGGTGAGTGAGGAAGTAGAGAATTCTATACCTGGGCCCCTTCCATTGCATCCCTAGAGTGAGAGCCATCTCCCACGACTTCTGGACTTCTCCAGGCTGGTGTGTTCCTTGTGACTCAGGGACTCTGCTCTGGACTTTTCTGAGGGGAACACTGGCCTGAGAGCCAGAGTGTGGAGTTTGCCGCAGAATGAGGTCTCAGCTTTGCTACACGAGTGGAGCCTTGTGTGGAAACTGTGGCTGCCAGGGACCCCAGTGACCTGTGCTTTTGGGGTCCGAGTGGCTGACCTGCTGGTGGCTAGAGTGTGGGTGCTGGAGTTGGAGAGACCTAGCTGTGAGACCTGGGTCCACCTTCATGACCCTGGGTAAATGCATAGTTGTACACCGCCCCCATTTAAAATGTGGGTGCACAGAGAAGACCCATTCTTGAGGCCCCTGCCAGGCCCTGGGCTGACCCACTGCATTTTCCAACAAACCTAGGTTAGCGTTACTATTTTTGCTATGTCACAGATGAGGAAACTGAGGACCTAAGCAGTGAGGGAGTGATGAACTTGGGAAATGAACCCGCTTGGACCACAGGGCTTGTGTTCTCTCTAGATACTTCTCTAGGTGTCACCACTGTGAGCCTCAGTGCAGAGCAGCACCGCCCTCCTCAGATGAGCCTGAGGGTTCAGGCCTGGGATAGGTTGCCTTATCTCCGGCTCCTGGAGTCTCTCCTGGGTATCTCATGTGTGACTTAGCATTGCCAGTCCGGGGACACATCCTCTCCTTCTGGATATTTTCAGTTCCATTTTCTTAGAATTCTGAGTTGTGGATGCGAGTGATCATGGTTATTTGTGGTTCATGTAGGAAGTCTGGGGCAGGGAGTGGCTTGTCCCGGTTCTAAGAAGGGAGTAGCTGGGAATGCTGTTTGTCTTCGGAAACGACTGGCCAGTGTCTCTACTGGGAGAGTGACCCAGGGACTCTCTTTCATCTCCTGAGGTCAGAGTCCCACTGTAGTAGAATGGCTTGTATGATGTCTCCTGGGAAAGGCCACTGCCAGGAAAGGCCTCTGTCTATTCTCAGGAAGCCAGCTACCCAAAGGCTTCCTGAGAATAGACAGAGCAACAAGAGGCAGGAAGACAGGCAACAGGCCATGAACTCTGTGGCCATGTTGCCCTCCCAGAGCTTGGGGTGTTGTTAAGGCCAGGCATGGTGGTGCTGGAGAAGATGGGCTGAGATGGGCTTCCTGGTTCTAGAAGCAGGTAGTTTATGTTAGTCTGCTTTGTGTTGCTATAACAAAGTAACAGAGATTAAGTATAATAAAAAGTATAATAAAAATAAAAAGTGTTTTATTTTGAATTAGTTTTGAAAACTGCAAAATTCAAACTCAGCTGGGTGCAATGGCTCACACCTGTAATGCCAGCGCTCAAGAGGCTGGGGCAGGATGGGAAGTGAGTTTGAGGCCAACCTGGGCTATGTGGTGTCTTCAAGGCCAGCTTGAACTTCATAGTGAGATTCTGTCTCAAAAAACAAAATGCAAAAGAAAAAGAAGATTCAAGCTCAAGTGTGATTTTATGCTTGTGAAGGTGTCACTACTCCAAACAAAAAGGCTGGGGGAGAGCTGGGCAATGAGGGGCACCCAAGCTCAGAGATCTCATAAACAGTTCTTTAGGACTGCGGTGGGCTGAGCTCCGTACTGGATATTGGTGATGTCCAGCAAACGGGCCCAGCCCTTCCTTCCTCTCCAGGAGCTTATGCCTACCACAAAACACAACACAGATTATATAGCCAGTATAGGTTTTCTCACAACTCTTAGGATACAAGAAATTCCTTAACTTTTTAACAATCAGATTTTTTAATTTTTAGTTTTGAGACAGGCTCTTGCTTTATCATGCAGGCTGGTTTTGAACTCGCTATGTAATCCAGGCTGGCCTTGAACTTGCCGAGATCCTCTTGCCTCTGCCTCTCAGTGCTGGGGTTACAGGCATGTGCCACTATGCCTGTCTCAACAATCAGATTGATCCCTATACTAGGACCTACTTGCCCAAGTTGGCAAAGGCTCTTAATAAGCAGTGGGGTTGTCTAGGATCAGCCCAGAATCCTAAACTGTGGTCAGCTTTGAAAACTGGAAGGGGACGTTTATGTTCCACTTTGATGTTCCTGCTGAAGCAGACCAATGCTAGTTAAATGAAATTAGCTGCTACCACAAATAAATCCCAAGTGGGTATGAGGCCACCTCCTCCATGAGTACCCTTCAAATCAGGCTCAGTCTCTGTTCCTTGTCCTGCTGCAGGCCCTAATATACCACTGGCCATCCTGTTACAGCTTGCTTCTCTTTAGAGTCCCGTTCCTTGTATCCAGCCCCTTATCCTCTGAAAACTGAATGAATGAATGAGTAAAGGAGTGGATTCATGCAGGGAATCTTGTATGCCAGCCTAATAAGATGGGGTGTCGGTCTTGGCAGTAGGGAGCTATTGCAGGGTTTTGAGCACGGGAGTCATCTGCCGCCAGGTGGAAGATGGTTTGGAAAGGCTGGCAACTGGGAAGACCATGACTGTCCAGATGGGGGCTGATGAGGCCTGACCAAGGCCAGTTTCTGAGAAACAACTGAGGGAGCTGATGACTGATGACTGTCCCGGCAGGGAGGGAGGTGGAGGGCTGGGCATGTGCCCTCCCAGGTGCTTGGTTTGGAT